TAAATGATTAAATTAACAATAAATTAAATAAAACACATTTAGCTCCCGTTTGGTGCACATTTTTTTGAAAAAGAATGCATTTTTACTGTTGATGTGATGGGGAATATGTGGTTGAAAAAGAATGAAACGTTATTGATGTGATGTAAAATATTATTTTATTGAAAAATTTGTGGTTGAAAATGAGTAGAAGAATGAGAATGAAAAAATTAATGTGGATCAAACAGGGTATTATTCAACATAATTCATGGAATAACTATAATTATATTATATTCATCTAATTTTTCATATACCTCAACATCTTCCATATAAAATCTCTCTATGATTGAAAACTCTTTAAGCTAGTTTTGAGTGCACACCAAAACCTCCACCATCCTAGGGGTTAAAGAACTACGAAATGGATCAATGATTCTTCCTCTAGAACACTAAAAGCACTTTCTGAAGCATAAAAATGGATGTACAAGTTATGATATATATCAAGGGACCATAAGGAGGTGAAAACATCATTAGTGAGTTTTTCATGCCTAAAAAAGGAAAAATGTAGAATGCAGACTAGTCTTGAAAATAAATTTCATGGAACAACTTCTCAATTGATATTTTAATGCGACATTGGCATCCATGCTTCATATCCTAATAGGCTTCTTCATTCAGTTAGAAAATCTTAAAAATTGAACTCATGATTGAGCATGTTGACTGACCTATTAGAGCACTGGGTACCTGCTCGTCCTTCTATTAGAGAAGCGACGTGTTGCCAATTGCTCTCACCAAATTTTTCTACAGCAGCACCGAGTTGATTATCCTCCTTCTGGGTCCACTCCCTTTAAGACTCTTTTGATAGCATGCTAAGCATTGAAAAGGGGTCCTATTCATTCCCAGCGAAACAGCAATATCTATCCAGTTACTTAGCCCGTTCTGCTGGATATTATGCAAAAGATTCTTGTCCTCAATTGTTGTCCATTGATTAAAAGGTCTTCACAGTTCAGCCACCTGCAAGAAACTACTAGAATTAGTTACTACGCAGAAACCAGTGCACACTATGACTACTGTGCATGTTTTAGAAATCTAAGTGGATAAACGAAGCATGCCTCCAGATGAAAAGGCAAATATATCAGAAATAATATTGACACCAATTTGACGGTTCTAAATTTGTCATCATGCATCAATGCCAATCCAAACATCATAAGGTTTTAAAGAACTGTGTTAGAATAAATAAGTAAAACCAAGAAAACCAAATCCCATTTTTGGATTAGGCCTAAAATTGCAGAAAAAACAAAATGAAACAGTACCAATACCAATACCAATACCAATACCAATACCCCAAAACCCTTTTTCTCTTTGACCTTCAATTCAACCAATTTCGTATCATTAATGCTTCTGCGGATACTTCTGGCTTCTGCAAGGTGGCAACACCAATAAATCCCATAAATCCATAAACACAACCACCACCTCCACCGCAGAACAGTAACTTTCACTTTCCAACAAGCTATTAAAAAATGTTTTCTTTGCTTTCGGAATCCCAGGAACTGAAAAAAAGTGTGTATATAGCATTAAACAGTTTACGCACATTAAACTTGCTACAGAAAAGCAAATGGACTTGTGGGAGACGATAGAATTTTTGAATGTCTGGCCTTTGCAGG